CACTGGGGTGACCTCGATAGCACAGAGCACCCAGGAGGGCCTCGCTGGGCACCAGAGATGGTGGCCATGTGCAGAACACCTCTGGGAGCCAGCCGCAGAAGTGGGCCTCCAGTTACAGCCACATCACAGGGTGACCCTGGGGTCCACAGAGAGGGCAGGGCCACCTTGGCTACTAAGACATTTGAGGACCACAGAATGCCACGAGGTCAGAGAGGCTGGGCCAGGGCAGGGCACTGTGGCCGGTGCTGGGCAGGGGCCCCGCTTTGCTGCCCTTGTTTGTCTCCACCTTGTTGTGTTGTCCTGTGGCACCTTTCAGCACCTGGGTGGGGGCAGGGGTGGGGGTGGAGGCTGGGGGAGTAGAAATGGCCAGCTCTGCAAGGAGAGCAGGTGGCAACCAGGAGGCAGGTGGGGCCCCATGCACGTCACACCCACGGGCAGTTTCTCTTGACTGAGTCACCAGGGGCAGGTCCAGAGCCACCGGCAACCTCCTTACCTGAGATCCAGGTGAGGACCTCCAGAGCCGGCCCAGGTGCCTGCCTCATCTGAACCTCGAGGCTCCAGAGCCTGACCCCCTCCCCTGGGGTGTGTGGGTGGCCACTGATGGAGGGGACGAACATGACATTGGAAATAAGTCCAAGTGGGAGAGAGCCAAGGGTCAGGAGGGTGAGGGCTGGCTCTGCTGGCCGCTGGGTCACCATCAAGGCACCAGCAGGGACCACGTGGGAAGGCAGTCCCCGCCGCCTGGACCAGAGGACGCACAGGCTTCCCATGTCTCCACTCCCTCCACAGGTATCTGGCCAGCTCGTCCGGCGAGCGGATGCAGTCGCAGACAAGCCTGGGCACCACAGCTGCTCCCAGAGGACCCAGGGGGCTCCGCTTCCCTAGGCTCCATCTGGGGGGCATGGCACCAAGGGAATCACCCTCTTTCAAGAGTGCCTCAAAAGCGGGATTGTTTTTGTAAACGAGGCTCGTCTCTTTATTATACAGGTCTCTGTACATCTGTCTTTTTTGATAGATTTTTAGTTATCATTTTTAATTACAGGGAAATACACGTAAGATGAAAGTTACCATTTTGACCACATTTACGTGAACTGCTCAGGGGCGTCATTCAGACCATTGAGCAATCCCCACCAGCCCTCGCAGGAACGCTTTCCACCTTGCAAAACTGAAACTCTGTGCTTAGTAAACAATGACTTCCACTGCCCCCGCCAGGCCCTGGCCACCACTCTCCTTCCCCTCTCCATGACTTTGACTCGCCTGGGTATCAGGTGGAACCTCACAGCACGCGTCCTGATTTGTGGCTGTCTTATTTCACTTAATGTTCTTGGGTTGTGGTTTATATCCGGACTCCAATTCCTTTCCAAGGGTGAGTAATATTCCAATGTATATATATGCTCCATTTTCTCCATCCTTTCACCAGTCAATGAACACTCTGGGGTTGCTTCCACCCTCTCATGACGAAGAATAATGCAGCTATAGCCTGTGGGTATGCAAGCAACTTTTCAGGTCTCTGTGTTTAATTCTTTCTAGTGTACGCCCACAGGTGGACGTGCTGGGTCATGTGGGACTTCTCTTGCTGTTGCCACTGGGGTGTTGTCATTGAGCCCCAGGTGCTCACAGCATTGTCCAGCTCTTCTGTCCTGTACCTTCTGGAGACCTGAGTCTGCCTACTTCTCTATCAGTTAGGGAGGAAAGAGTATTGAACACACCAGCAAAAATTGGAGATGTGTCTACTCCTCCTGATGGTGCCACCTATTTGGAGCACCAGGTATTTGGAAGCTCTGTTTTGGGGAGTACATGCATAGAAGATCCTTTATGTATTTTTGGCCCCTTTATCATTAGGAATGTTCCTCTTCGTTCCTGCTAGTCTTCCTGGTCTCTAAATCTGCTTTGGCTGTCATCCATGCAACTCCAGCTATCTTCTTTCTAGGGTTTACATGGGACATCTTTTTCCACCTCCTTACCTTTAAACTATCATCGTCTTTATAACTACATAATTAGATATTGTATAATCAGATCTTGTGTTTTTTAATCCAATTTGGAAAGCACAGTCTTTTAACTGGTGCTTTTGCATCATTTACATGTAAGTGCTGATATGGTTAGATTATTATCTATCATTCTACTGCTTTCTATTTATTCTATGTGTTCTGTATTTCTTTTATCCTCTTCTTCCTTCTCCTGAGTTAAAATATTTTGATTCCACTTTACCACTTTATATTGTCTTATTATTTATACCGTTAAATAATTTTTTGCTTACCCTAGGGCTTGTGTGTCCTTAATGAATAAGACTAACTTCCAATAACACAACACCTCCTTATGGTAAAATAAGGTGCACAACAGTATGTTTCCAATTCCTCCTTCCCACCCTTTGTGATATGGTTGTGACTATCCCTAAAGCTAAAGATAAAAACTTTTCAAAGAATTAGAGAGAACAAAACCTGTTCCCACCGCTGGTCTGGAAAGACTCATAATTCACAAGGCCTTCACAAAGACTCATAATTCAGAAGGACCTGCTTAAGCAATGGAAAGTAGCTAGGTCCAGATCAAATGCTTCTCTGGTTCTACCTCTCTCTCGGATCTCAGTATCATGCTCCAAAAGATCAAAACCTTTCCAAGTACCTCAGTTGCACCAAAGTATAAAGATGGAGTTCATTCATAGTGATATATAAACACTCAGCACCCTTGGGGAAATGGCTAAATTGGGGCTGGGGCAGGAAGTACATCAGAGTGGCCTGTGACACTTGTCATGACAGAAAGTAAAGAAATACCTTAAAAAAGTAAAAAGAAAGAAATCTGCACTGACGAGGTAGGTCGAAGGCGGGCAGGAACTAGATGAAAAACTTCAAGGCCCAAATCAGAGCAATCTGGGAGAACTGGGGGGTCCTGTGGGGCAAAGCAGAGGAGGCAGAGGGGCTGAGTGTGGGAGGCGGGCGTGGGATCCTGTGGGTGTCAAGAGCCACGCCAGAGCTACTACACTGGGCACAAAGTGGAGCCACCAGGGGTTCTGAGCAGGGAGGGTGTGACTGTGTTCATGTCTCTGATCCGGGACACTTAATTCCAGGGAGGTAAGAAAGAAAGACGCAGGGTTACCATTTGGGGTTATTGCAACGCTCCAAGGAAGAGAGGTAAAGGGGGAGTTCAGAGAGTAGATGCTTGACTACTCATTGAGAGTTGTGTGACAGCAAATTTTGGTACACAGGGTGATACTGGTGTTGAGAATCAGGTCCCAGACTCGCTCCCCAGTGTTGAAGATTGAACACCCAAGAAACACCGAGGCAAGAGCAAGAGGTTTTATTTAAAGGTAGAACAGAGAGAAAGACACAGACTTCTCCGCAGAGGGGGGGGGGGTCCGAAGCTGGTGCCAGAGGGAGTGGGGGTGTCCTGACCTTTTCATAGATTATTGTAGATTCCCTTTGTTCTCATGCGCCCTCCTCCCATCCTGCCTGGGTGACCCAAAGGTGGAGTAATCCAAGGGCTGAACGAGCCACCCAGGGGTACAGGCAGGAAGGGAACCACCCAGGGACTACTCAGAACAGCTCCTCGCAGGGAGGAACAATTCCCTGGAGGCAGGTAGCCTTGGCAACAGGTGGAGGAGGGAAGTGCCCTGAAGATATTAGCATTTTAATTTCCTCTAGATTCAGCCCGCATCGCATCTTCCTGACCCAATCCCTCTTTATATACTCTAACTGTCCTTTTGTCTCCTGGCCTCCTACGGAATAGGATTTTTTTCATGTCTGGGCTGAGCAGCAATGTTATATTTCAGGGGTGATGAGTTCCTTGCATTGCCCCCGCGGAGGCTGCAGCTGATTGTTGATTCAGAGTTAAGGAACCGCCAACCTTCAAGACCACTCCTGCCGTGTCAGAGCTGGGGCCTTCCAGGAAACTGAGGCCATGCAAAGACCACCCGCCCTTCAACCACGATTCATGGGACCAAGTCAGAGAGACTTCAGACACGTCACTCCGAGGGACAGGCATGAGCTTGTGGAAGGGATTAGAAGAGGGAAGGAGGATATCTCAAGGGGGAAAGTGGGTCCTCTCAGAGAGGAGAGGGACAAACCTGCCTCTGCTGCTCTTCAGTTTTATTAGTGATCCCAGAGAATTTTCCAGAAAGTTCTGCCCAGGTCCACCTCCTGACATCTGACTGATGACAGGTGACATCAGACTTTTCAAGTCCCCACTGCAGTAATTCTAGATCCCCTCTGCCCATGCTGACCAGTTCTAATTGGATTTTTAATCATTTTTACAGAGATCATGGTTAGGAGGAACGGTCCTTATCGCCCAGGATCTGGTCCATGAAAAGGGTCTTAAAAAATCTTTCCCTTCTTGGGCTCCTCTTATCAAAAGTTATTTCCTGCCTGCATTTCCTTACTGATGACGGGTAGTTTGCTGAGGAATGTGGCAAACCCTCCCCACTTAAGCCAGGAAGGGCTACAGGTAAATTGCTTTTTGGCAAAGAAAGCATGTGGGGGTCATGACAGTGGGGTGGCTTTATAGAATTTCTCTCTTTCCCTTGTATTCCCACCATCCTCATCTGTCTGTCCCCTAACACAGCCACGTGAGCCTCCTCCCCTGGACACATAGCAGGTCCTCAGTATCCAAAGCTAAACACAGGACCACCTTTTTCTCAGCTAGCACAGTAAGCAGAGGACCAAGACCCCGAGGAAGCGCGTCACGTAGTGCCTAAGGACCCAGAGACTGGCTTCCACCTTGCTAGGTGTCTCTGGCCGTGTGACTTGGGAAGTGTCTTCATCTCTCCGGGCCTCTGTTTTCTTATACAAGAAATAAAGATTAATGGCCCCTAAGGGTTATTAAGAGGATTAAAAGATGAACCAGTAAAGCTCTTAACACTCAGTAACAGCATAAGCTTTTGATATTTCTACAAGTGTGGCCTATTTGGTGTGTAAATCCCCTGAGCGGAGGCTGGATGTGGCCTCACGCCACTAGTGCGTCAAGGGGGCCACACCCCTGCCTCCAAGGCTGTCTAGAGAGTTGCTCTCCTCCCTCAGTCCAGCATCCAGCCCCCGCCTGTCTCCTCGCTCCTGTTTCCTGGTGTCTCTTCTGCTCATATTTCTCAAGGAGCCCAGACCTGACACACCCGTGTTGCTTCCCTGCCACTCATCCAAAGCCTCTCAGGACCTCTGTGCCAGCCCAGCTCCCTGACCAAAGTGGGACACCCGGGACCAGAAGGTAAGACTCCCTCCTTGCTCGGTAGAAAGCCTGGAGGTCCTGACCCGGCTTCCTCTGCCCTTAAACACAGCTGGAGCCGTGACTTTGAATCCAGGATCAAGAATACCTCCGGGCAAAAGCAACTTCTGCTGCTCAGAAGCCAGGTGTGGGGAACCTTCTCTCACTGCTTTGGCTATCTGGAGATGCCCGTGGGCTCCCTGGCCCAGGCCCAGGATGCTGGAGGACCTGGTGCCGTGTTTAAGAGCGGGGTTGCTGATTTGCTTGTTCACTGTGTAGGGGTGACTATGGAGTCAGGCCCTGAGGATCTCGAGGCAGGGAACGTTGAGAAAAACTGGTTCTCATTTTGAAGAGTCTGTGATCCTCAGGGAACTGTCCTGGGACCCTAACCAGAAGCAGATGTCCCTTGAGAGTCAAAATGCCTAATGTGGCCGTGGATGGCCACAGGCAGGATCCTTAGAGATTCCTCTTTGAAAAAGAGCAGAGGAAGGTGGGGGCCAAGAGGCTTGCTGCTGCCAGCCACTCAGGAGGGTTCATCTTAAACACGGCAGACGAGGCTGCTCAGCAGCTGAGGGAGGCCTGGGCTGAAGACAAGACATGCTCTCTTCCCTCCTCTCGACCGAGGGCCTCGCTGCACAGAAGGTGTCCAGGGTGATGTTCTGGACCCTCCTAACCCTCCCATGTGTGATGACAGAGTCCCCAGGCATTGCAGCCTGGGCAATCAGGGTTGGCCCAGCCACCAAGGGAATGGAGCTTCCATTCAGGGTCTGCTGGCCTCAAAATATGCTCCTTTCAAATATGTAAGTGAGAAGCTCTCTCTAAAGAATTTTGACCACGTTCCAGGTGCTGAAGAAGAAGCGGCGACATGTCTTCCTCCTCTCCTCCTCGCCTTGAGCAGCCGCAGACAGGCAGCTTTCCACCACCTCACACGCCCGTCCCCAACACCAGCAGCTCCGAAGACCCCATGTTCACCCCGGAGCGTAAGTGGAGAGCCAGAAACCACCCAGCCCCACCAGAGATAGGGTGCAAGGACCCTGAGTCATTGGCTCAGCTGTAAATGTTATCTGCTTGGCTAAAATCTCAGAAATCTACAGTAGAAAATCTCTTTTCTTACTGTCTCTGTTCCGAATTGCTTGTTTATTTTAACCAACAGGGTGAAAGGGGAAAGAAACCAATGTAATGATGACCAGTTAAGTAGTTTTTGTTTCTATAACTACCCAGAGACTTTATCCATCAAGAAAAAATAACCCGAGAAAAAAAGGGGGGCAAATCTTTAAAATCTCTTGGCCCCATGAATGTGCTGAGATCCTTTCTGATGCTTTGATCCACAAACTGGTCCCACCTCGTTTCCCTTTTCTTTCTCCCTCTTCTCAGAACACTCAGCCTGTCTCGAGAACCCACAAGCCAGTATTATCAGGGTGCAACTGGGGTCCCAACGTTAGCAATAACAGTGCCTGTGTTCTGTGTCTTCCCGCAGTTCAGGATATGCCCGTATTCTACACCATTCGTGACTCCCAACAGATGGTGTGGGTCCTGAGTGGAGATGTTTTAATAGCAGCTCCTTCAAGCAACAACGTGCAGCCTGGTAAGTGACATCAGAATCCGCAGTTGCTCTGGCCTGGGCCAGGAACACCAGTTCCATGAAGTGGGCTCCGGTCCTCACCAACTTCTGGGCACCAGCCCAACGTCCAGAGGAACGGCAGGAAAGAGCAAGATGGTCACCTTCTGTAAAAGGAAACCCATACCTAGAAGCAGGGGTGTAGGGATTGGCAGCTTTCTTACCTGAAGAATCCACCTTCAGGTTACTGGGGAACTGTCCTTTCAGGTATGGCTGACCTTGGAGTTTCTCTCCTCTAAATTCCAGCCATCACTCCCTCTGTCAAACTTCCCCATCTTTCCAATACACACTTCTCTAATTTGGCATCATCTCCTCTAATAATGGGGGCATGTTCCCTCCTTCCACCCAAACCAGCTCCTCTCGGCTTCTTTCCCTTTCTGCAGGACTTCTGCGTTGGATGGAGTCCCTCTCTCAGCGGGTACCCCACCTGTGTCCCCTGCGTCATCTCTACTGCTGACAGACACACTCCAGTCTTAACGCCTGCTCTTGATCCTCGCTGTCTCTTCCTGTTGCTGTTTCGTTGCCCTGTGTCCTCAGAGGCTGATTTCCCTGGAGAGTTGCCCACACAGCTTGCCTGCACCTCACTTCCTTTTCACAGCAAAACAATCTGACTTCTACACCGCTCTCTTCTCTCCCCTAAGGTCCCTCTTTCCAAGTGCATCTTCAAATGCCAAATCCCAAGAGCACCCTTCTCAGCTGTCCTCTGTAGAGCAGTGCCGGTTACTCTCCACACTCCACCTTCTTCTTCCGTGAGAACCCTCCTGGTCCTCAGGTCCACTGGCTCCTCTTCTGGGTTCATCTTTATGACTCAACTTTCTCCCCGAAACCTCCAAATCATGGGGTTCTTCAGGGCCCCCTCTGCAACCCTGCAGGCCCTGTGAAGGGGTGGGGAGCAGGTCCTGTGGTTGGGTACATGGCTTCTCCTCTCACCACCTGACATTTGTGCTCCTGGCACACATCTCTCTGAACCATCTTCTCTGGCATCTCTAACTTCACATGCCCTGGGGTGGAACTGTGGAGACCTGGCTTCTCTAAACGGAAGATGGCCCCCACTAGGGGCACTGCCCCCTGCTCTACTGGCTTGGGCCAGGAACACAGAAGCATCTGGATGCCTGCCCCCCACCCTCACACCTTCTCCATCCACCAGCGAGACCACTGAGTCTGTATTTCTAAGTCAGTATCATCTCCAGCCGGGACTGGCACCCCCGCCCCCGCCCTCCTTCCCACTTCATTCATGGAACCTCCAATCCATTCTCCGCAGAGCCTCAGGAGGGACCTTCTTATGTATGGAACTGAGCAGAAAAGACTTTCCTTTCCCTGTGAGCCCTTCTTTCAAGCCCTGATTTCTCTCTCTTCACTTAGTGGCCTTCCCTGAACTTTAAGGAACATTCTTAGAAATCCCACCCAACATTTCCACTTCCGGTTCATGGGCCACAGCCTAAGTGTATGGCCACATTTATCTGCCAGAGGGGTAGGAAGTTTTATTTTTTATTTGGGGAAGCTCTGTGCCCTGGTGAACAATTAGGGTTCTGATATTCAGGAATAAAAAGGAAATGAGTTTCAGAAAAGCGACAAAGGGACTTGCCAAGGCTAATGGGAGGAGCCATCTGGGGAAGTCCCTGACAGTCCCCCGTTAGCCTCCTGAGTGTGAGGCCAGAGGCCCAGACTCCCCTCTGCTGGAGGCCTGACCCTTCTCCATTCTTCCTGTGTTTCCAGTCACTCTCACCTTGATCGCCTGCAGGGACACAGCATTACACGATGAAGAGAAAGGCAATCTGGTTTTCCTGGGAATCAAGGGCAAAGACCTCAGCTTCTGCTGTGCGGAAGCTGAGGGCCAGCCCACACTGCAGCTGAAGGTGAGTCGTGCAGTCGATGAGGGAAGCATAGCCAGTGGGCTTTTATCTTAACGGGTGACCGTGAAACAATCTTCCTGCAATCCTGGGTTGTCCCACGCAAGGAAGGAAATCTGACCTGGCTGGTCCCCACGTCCGTCAGTGGTGCCATTGGAGGGGATTACCACACTCGGGTCCATGCACAGCATGGCTCCTGGGAAAGCCAGAGGATGCACACAGGGATGTTCCTGAAAAGACAGGGGACGTGGCTTCTCTATTCTCCGTCCTGATTTGCTACCCCCTAGAAGTCCCCAAGGGAATGGGAGGCTCCCACTTCAACAGACTATCACATTGACAAGTGGAGGGAGAGGGTTCATCTGGATTTCTGACAGTGTTTGTTTATATCCATGTACCCACAGGAAGATCAGTAGGTACAAAGCCTCTGCTCATGATGGGAAGTGGAATGTCTGAATCCACAGGGAGGTTGGGACTCCAAGGAGCATGCTCGGGCCTGCAGATGAAGGCAGCTTCAGGGAAGAGAGCATGCCTGCCCCTGTTACAGGGAAGACAGCACCTGTGTCTGGAGCCAGGCTCCTGGAACCTGCTAGGTCCATGCCCTGACAACCTGGTTTTCTACCTGTCACCCCAGTACTGGGAACTGACCTTGGGGAGCTCTATCACTGAGCCACACCCCTAGCCCTTTTTTAAATTTTTTATTTTGAGACAGGGTCTCACTAAGTTGCTGAGGCTGAGCTCAACTGCAATCCTCCTTCCTTAGCCTCCCAAGTTACAGCCTCCCAAGGCCACCACGCCCTGTGTCCCTAGCCTCCGACCCTCCCTGCTGTGCACAGAGGGCTGAGTTAGCTTAGCTCCCCACTGCAGTTCTCCTCACTAATGAGCCTCTTTCTCACCCCCAGGAGGTCAGTATCATGGAACTGTACAGGGAGAACAAAGCTCGGACGCCATTTCTCTTCTTCCACAGCCTGGAGGGCTCCACCTCTGCCTTTCAGTCGGCCTCCCACCCCGGCTGGTTCATAGCCACGTCCTCCACAGCCAAGCAGCCCGTGACGCTCACCCAGGAGAGGGGCCTCGCTAACACAAACTTTTATTTAGGTCGTGAGAATTAAATCCAGCCTGGTCGGAGGGTGACGGATTTCAGGATAGATGATCAAGCTGTCAGAGAATCTTCTGCTTGAAAATACAGTGCCATGTTTCCATGCAATTTCCCTTTTCTCTCCCTTTCCCTCCCATCTCATGTCTCTGTTGAGAGAGAAATGAATTACAGTAGATGGGGTACAGAGAGAAGATGTGAGGGAAGGGGAGGGGGGATAGTAGGGGATAGGAAAGGTAGCAGAATACAACAATTACTTATAGGGCATCATGTAAAATTGTGGATGTATAACCGACGTGATTCTGCAATCTGCATTTGGGGTAAAATTGGGAGTTCATAACTCACTTCAATCTAATGTATGTAATATGATACGTCAAGAGCTTTGTAATGTTGTGAACAACCAGTAAAAAAAAAGAAAGAAAAAAAATAAAATTAAAAAAAGAAAGAAAATACAGTGCCACCTGACCAGGTCACCGTCCCCTACGAAGTCATCTGCAGTTCAGCCCATCCATGGCCCACCTCATTCTGTCCCCCCTCAAACCTCTGCCCCTCTGGGCATCCACTTCTTCCCCATGTCCCTCGCCTGAGCACTGTCCCCACAGGAAACCTCAGAGTTGCTTTTTATTCTTTCTTGGTCTCAACCCACTGTCCACTCAGCTGCCACATCCAGCTAAGTCAACCCCACATGCTTCTCACGTGACACCCTCCACCCTCTTCCTTCTGCCAATCATGACCCGTTGATAAATGCCATAAGTAAATCCCATCAATAAAAGAACGCCATGTATTGATTTGGGGCATGTTTATTTAATACATCACATAATATAAACATTCTGTTTCTGCTATAAGTGTTGTCATAATATTAACATTACATCATATAAACATTTAATATAAACATACTATTCATATAACATGTTTACATTATAAACATTATGTTATAATATAAACATCATAATGCTTATAATCTCAAAAGATAAATTGAAAAGATGAGATGAATACATACCTTGATAAGCATGATGGATTCATAATCTAATTGGTTAATCATTCAATACACAGTGTCTAGTCTGGCAATGATTAATTATTAACCATGATGAAATTAAATCAATCCACATTTCAGAGAATCATTCGTATCAGTTAGAATTTCTTCCAGGCAACTTCTCAGAGCTAATCGCACTGTCTTTTTTTTTTTTTCTTTCTAAAGCAGTTAGAAATAGAAGAACATATTAATATTTCCTTATTATCTCCTGGAATTACAGTGGTCTTTTTCAATTCACAGCTTCTCTTGAGGGATAGTTTCAAGCCCGTTGTTCATTTTGTGAGGCTCCTGCAGGTACAGCCTGCACATTCTCTACCGGAGCACATTTAGGGTGCCGTGTTCTGGAACACGCAGCACACGGACATCCGTCAGCATCACAAACCCTCCTCCCTCAGAAGGCCAGGCCCTCTCTGCACAGGACGTGCAGAGGTACCGGGTCTTGTGACATATGCCCACTGCTGAGTTCAGTGCCCCAGCCAGGCAAGCTGGGTCCCCTACCCTATCTTCCTTCCGGCATCACCTCCTTTTGCTTCCCTGCCCAGGGCTGTTCCAGAGACTTCTGAGCCCCCCTCACGTCCTGTTAGCCTCCCTTTTGCTGTGAAAAGATTGGCTCTTCCAGCATTTCATGGCAGCCCCACTGAGCAGCTCTCCCTGAGCCAGGGCTCCTGGGACACCTGGGGAGGACAGTGGCAGGAATCTGCTGGCACTCACACAGGCATAAACCTATAAGTGGAAGGGACCACAGGGACCTCTTGACCCATGGGGGTGGGAGCAGCTGTCCTCCCCCACCAGGACAGTTCTGAGTGGCACGGCAGGGCTGGACTCGAGACCCACTCCTGCAGAGGCTTCCCCCATTTCCTGCTCAACTCCCAGGCCCCTCTCTGGTTCCCTGGACTCACCTTTGGTCACCCTGCGTTCAAACCCTTGTCTCAGGCTCTGCTTTCTGGTGAGCCTGATTCTATCAAAGCCAGACCTCTCTGCTCGCCACCCCCATGTTGCACACCTCACCTCTGTGCCCCTGTGTGTGCCTGGGACACATCTGCAGCCCCTCTGCCACCGTGTACCCCACCTCCCCCAGCTTCTCAATAGCCCAAATCTGCTTGCAGGGCTTAGAGGCCTCTCACCTTCCCCACGTCACTTTCTTTGGTTTTAAGTCACATTTTTGCCTGTTCACGGGACAATTTCTTTCGTTAGACTTTGTGCTATTCTTGCCTCAGAATAACAGTTTCCACTGCTACTGAAACAAATGAATCCTCCTTGCATGCCGCGAGGTCTGTGATAGCATTGCCCCCTGATAGGGAAGCATGTCAGGCAGGATCCTGAACTGCAAAAGCAGAAGCAGCCGTCGGCTTCGAGGAACATCTGAGGGACTGAGATTCCCTCAAAGAACATGCAGTGGGGAAGCACGGAGAGGTTCTTGGGGCTTGCCTCTTCTGTTCCTCCTCCTTTCCCCCACGCCAGTGTGACCCAGGGACTGTGAGGTGGCTGGGACATCTACTTGGGTGTGCTGCAGAAATGAAGCACAGCCCAGAGCGTCCCCCAAGGTTGCCAGCCAGTGTCCGCCGCCTGCCTCTCAGAGGGCTCGGCACAGCTGAGGGTATGCACTTTTCCCAAGCCCCCCCTCCACACATGCATGTCGGGCACCACTGCATGGGCACACAGGAGAAGAAGCCCGTGGGATTCACAGCTGCAACTTTTTTCTCTGACTGAGTCAGGACTCAGCACAGGAGGACCCTAAAGATGGCTTGAAAGACTCATGACAGTGAAGTTGGGCACATAGTAGGCACAACTGCAGAGCATGTGAGCCTGTAAATAGTGAAATCTATAGGAAGAATGGCAGGTGGTGTTGGAAAACAGTGTCGCAGGGATGTGCTTGTAAATGTTTGCTTCCCAGCAACTCCAGGGGCCCTGGACATGGGCAAGAGACAGGCACCCACACTGCCCCATGGCCTCCAAGAGAGGGGCAAAGACACAGTGGTGGCAGGAGGGAGAAGAGGAAGAGGACGTGGAACCACAGAGGAGTCGGCATATCCCCTCCCAGGGTAAAGGTGTGTGATGCTCTTTGCTTGAACCTAAGCTAAGAATCAAAGGAGGGAGCCCAGGAAGAGGGATTTCTGTTCCGTCCGTATCAGAAAGCACTTCCCAAACATTGTGATTCCATGATTTGGGCATCCTGCAGAAATGCCTCCTTTGCAAGGAGCTAGGTGAATCTCTTGTCCATCTGCAGCATGGAGAGAATCATGCCAACATCAACACACAGGAGAAGCAAAGACAGACAGCGGAGAAGGAACACTCTAGAATCATATCTTCTGTTCAGTCTCTGAAGCATGAACTCCTATCTCTCTTTCCTCCAGTGTATGACTGGACAGAGAGAGTCCGCCTGAATCTCCCCCAGTCAGCAACCTGGATGCAGGTCCGAGTCCACTTCAAGCGCTCCTACCGTCCTTCCTTTCTCCTGCTCTTTCCTTCCCTCAAATCCAGTTCCCTTTATTCTTTGGAAGAGAAACTTTTCAAAAATCTACAAACTTAAAATTGAAAATCTTTGCCTCCTACTTAGTCAAGAAGTTTGTTTTTATTTTGTCTGTGACCTAATGTGAACTGCACTGCCAATGAGAAGGAAAGACAAACATGCCAAAGACAGATAGACAGATGGACCGACCGGGTGCTGAGTCCCTTACAAGCAGAAGGTTCCTAATTATGAGAATAACACTGAGCAGTCAGCCTAGGCCATATTGGTTAGATGTGACTCTGGAAATAAGTGGACATTAAAAAATGAATAAATTTACCCAAGCGTCACACTATGGCCCATAAAGACGTTCAACTACTATCCATTAATAAAAAAAATTATGGCAGTGGAAAGTTGGTGGAACAGTTTAGAAGCCCAGTCAGTTACTTCTTCCAAGGCAGGATCTCCCAGGCCGAGCAGAAAGGGGTGGCTCTGGTTAGGCCTCTTATCAGCAGCCACCAAGTGGCCACCCTGGGCACCCATTCTCTCACCCCTCTGCTGGTTATCTTGCCAGAGGAAGTCCAAGTCCAAGGACATGGCCAGGACCCCAGCCTTTGAGGCCCTCGGAGCCCCTGCTCACACTCCTGTCTTGACCTGCCATGCATTCCTCCCGCTTTAGAAAATGTTAATCATCAGCTGTCACTAATGAATTGGTGCATTTACTTTGTAAATAAATAAATAAATAAATAATAGAAACTTAAAACATATCAGATAAATCCAAATTCCTTTCCTCCAATCCTGGTTCCCCTCTCCCCACCTTAATGGTAATCATTGTTATGTGCTGGGATCCCTCTGATCTATTTCTCCACACATGGAATGTGGAAATACACAGGGTGGTTCTGTTGGTGCCTCTGTGCATGTATGTGTGTGTGCTTGCTCGAGTACATCTCCCTGATTGGTGTAACACCACCGTGTTTTTCTCTGTGCAATTTTGGGTTCAGCACCACAGCTGCCTAGAGGGCTCTCTCAGGATAGACCCCGTGATCTCGTGTTTCTGCAGCAGCTGCCAGTCATTCCTTCCTAGATAGTTAGTTTCCATTTTCTGGGAGTTTCCCTTATAAATAATGTGGCAACAGAGGTCCCAGCGTCTGCCTCCCACACACACCCACGACTTTCCTTGCAAGAGAGAGCAAGTTGCCTGACTGTGGAGCATGCACGTTCTTTATTTTCAAGCCCTCCCTGTGTCCAGGACAACTCACTGTCGTTCCGACTTGCTCGTCCCTGATTACTAATAAGCCACCCACCCCTCAGCACACTGCAGTCTGACGCTGACTTCTGACTTCTCCACCCAAGCCTGTCCCGGGAGCATCACAGTGACACCTCTGTTGCCTAATCCAGGACACGGTGCTTTAGGCCCAGCCTGCCCTGTCCTCAATCTCCACGCTCACCTGCCGGCCGTTCTGCAGCAAGCTGCTCCTGGGTTTTCCCCATCTCCCTGGATTTCCCTTCTGGCTCCCATTTCCTGGTTCCTCCCCAGTGACCTCTGAAGGCTGAAGTTACTCAGGACTCATCCTTGGGTCTTTCTACCATCTCTCTGGCTGACACTAGGGATGCTCATGAATTTAAATTCTAGCTGTAACCCAACAAATCAATCTCTGGCCCAGAACTCTCTCTTCACCCCAGATTTGACTGGGGGGCTGCCAGTCTGGACGGTCTCAGAACT